GCTCTTAAACAGAGCCGAAGCGTCAGGGGAGGAGCAGAGCCTCCGGCCGCGGCAAGCTCTGCTCCTCCCCTGACGCTTCGGTTCTGTTTAAGAGCCGAGCACTATGGGCTTCACGGTTTGCCGGGCAGCCTCCAGACCCTGCGCCCCTGGCTGGGTGCTTCCCCTCCCGGGCTCCAGCTGCGCTGGGGAAGCACCGGCTGGGGGCGCAGGGTCTGGGGGCTGCCCAGCAAACCGTGAAGCCGGTAGCGCTCGGGCTCCCCTTTTCACGTGGCTGGGAGTGGGAGGGAGGAGGGGGCGGAGTTAGGGCGGGGCTGGGGTGGGAAATGGGCGGGGCCAGGGCCCCGTGGGGGGTCCTCTTTTTTTATTTGTTAAATATGGTAACCCTACCCAATAGTCAAATAATTTTGATCAGATTATTCTTCCGCCTGCTGCCTGCAGCAGTCTTCTACAGACCATTTCTGTGGGAAAAGGGCCCATTTTCCTCAGAATAGCTGTAAAGGCTTCTGGGGACAGAAGCGTAGTGATGGTAGTAGCCACTCTACCTGACCCCCTGGTATAATTGAATTACCAAGCTTCCATCCAATCTGACTGCACAGAGTTGCACATACAGTTACATTTATATAACTGGGTTTTATTATGAAACCAAAAACTTGCTTTTTGTAACACCAAACTGTTACCTGTACCATTTTTACAACTCCCAAATGTTTACTTTCCTCCAAACCCTGTATTATTAATTTTTTGCAAAAGGTATTTGTAACTTTTCACTTACTTCTTTAAATCACTTACTCCTACATTTAGTTTTTTAAGGTAGTGCACTTTGTCTTTAACAACTCAGCCACCAAGTACAATTATTGCCACACAGCTGCCTTAACCTGTGCTGTCTTTACCTTGAGACTGTTTAAAAGGCAGTAAAACATTTGTCTCCATGGTTGCCCATGGATTTTTTACTCCAAAAATTCCAATGGACTACAGCAGACCTTCATCATACTTTGTCCCAAACAAAACAAAACAAAAAACCAAAAACATTTTACATAAGTATCCAAAGTACACTTTATTAAAACTTCAGAAAAACGAAAGTGTGGAAAGGCAGGGGAGAGGAGGGAGAAGAAGTGGAAAGAAACCAATTAAGCCTGTCAGGTCAGTTTAAAGTATAGGCTACCAGCAGCAAATTAAGTAAATTGAGAGAAGGAAGAAAAGAATATAGTTAGCTCTGAACCAAGTGTAGGCTCCCTAGGTTGAAACAGTTGGGAACCCTTACCCCCCAGGTTCTCATCCTGGCTCTGGGAGAAGAGTGGAGGTTGTTACCTGCTTCTGCAAACCCTGCTATTTTTCACTTTGAAACCGTTTTTTTTCCCTTCACTCCCCCAGGACCAAGTCCCAGTTCCTGTCTCTAAAGGTGGTCTGTTAACTCTGCTTCTGATTTTAAACCTTGTTGTGCCAAATTATCTTTAATCACCCCTAACTACTATACAACCCTTCAGCAGCCCTTGCTGAAACAGCACCAAACTTGAAAGATTACTGGCAGCTTCCCATAATGCTGCCCTTACTTCAAACCTCTCACAAGTGGACTGAAGTGCCTCCTTTCCCTGGAAGGCAGTCAGTCCCAATGGGCAGGGACCTTCTTCCACTACCCATATACCAAAGGAGGGTGGGCTCCTCAGCCACCCCCCATCCCTCTGGGTCCCCTAACACTACCTCCATTTCCTTTTTAATCTTATCCCAAGCTGACCCCTGCACTTGGTATGGGCCCTGGTTCTTCCTTATCCATTTATCCTAAAAATCCTTTACCATGGCTTGCCAGAACCCACAACTACCATCACGAGAGTTCACTATACCCCCTCCAAGCAGCGGCACGGACTGTTGGGGAGGGAGACTTACAGGCTGCCACTCACCTATCCGATGCATCCGAGTCACGGCACCAAGATGTTAGGGGGCTTATTCCTTCACCCTCTCACTTCCCTGGTCCTTCTCGCATGAACAGAGAGCAACAATACCCGAAGTCCAAAGGCACAAACAATTCGATGTTTATTGGGGTGAACTTCCAGCAAGCATGATTCCAATTTCCTACCTCAGTGTCCCCCTTCCCAGCTCTGACACCACAGAGCCATCCCTGTTCCCGTTCCCTCCTTAGCAAAACATGATTCCAATTTCCCCACCCCCATTCCCCGTTCCCATTCCCCTTACTTCCTGATTGACTGCAGACTACACTGGTCTACAATTTTTGAGAAGTCGTCTGCTTCAGAGATAAAATGTGCTATTTATTATGTATTTTGATGTGCTGAATTCAAATATGACAATTAAAACAACTGATTGGCTACTATTTCTAAGATATTTAAGTTTTTAGAATTTATGTCTGTGTATATTGTGTAGATAGTAGAGTTTTAATCATAAATTGTAAACCTAGGTCTTTTCATGTGTTTATGGTTGCTTTACATGATAATATTTCACCTGTCCTGTTTCTGTAACACTTTAAAAATCAGCAAAAGGGTTATATAAATAAAATTTATTATGAAACAAAAGGCAAAAAACTATTATGTACATAGTTTAGTCCTATTCAATTCAGTGTCTACTCTGCGCTTCTTGATTTGTCTCTTGTATTCATTAAATGGAGCATCACTTGTCACTGTCCAGCAATAGTCTGCAAGCATTGATGGGCTCCATTTGCCCTGATAACGTTTCTCCATTGTTGCAATGTCCTGGTGAAATCGCTCACCATGCTCGTCGCTCACTGCTCCGCAGTTCGGTGGAAAAAAAATCTAGATGAGAGTGCAAAAAATGTATCTTTAGTGACATGTTGCAA